ATGGAACCGTGGTTTTTATTCACGGAGGCTTTTGCCTTCACCACAAATTCATTGGCAATTGAAGACCTGATGCTTGCGTGAGATTATCCTCGGCATTTGAAGTGGTTCGGAATTGTTGAACTGATGCAATTACATGCGGGATTTGGCTGAAACAGTGCAATTTCACACAGCAGCTCTCCAAAAATTAATATAATTTAATACGTTCGGTTCTTGAAGCGTTTGTTTATTTGGTAGGTTTTCCTCCTAGGGTTTGGACTCTGTTTAGAGGAAGTGCTAACCTCAATTTAAAATCTGCCGTCATGAAACTGTCTTAGTTTTGGCACAGCAGTTTTGGTCAGCCTTTTTAGGCAGTGGTTAACACTGGCATCTTTTCAGTATCATTATACTGTAGATCAGGGGTGTCAAACTCAAGACCTGCGGGCTGGATACGGTCTATGAGGTGCTTAGATCTGGCCCACGGGGTCAGCCTTGAAATATCAAAGGACTGGCCTGCGGTGCAAATGCCAGCTGAAAACAGGCTGCAGGAGTCCTTTTGCAGACCATTTTCAGCCTCCGTGGGCTCCTGCAGCAATCTGCTGTCCAGAAATGGGCCGTAAGGGGCCCCGCGAGGCATCTATCCTGTCCCGTCCCCCCACCCCGACGTCCCATGGAGGAGAACTACAATGCTGAGCCCTCGAAGAAATCCAGTTTGACACCTCTGCTGTAGATAGTCCTTGACTTACGACCACAACAGCACGGATTTTCTGTTGTCAAGCAAAACAGAGTTTTACCCCATTTTACAATCTTTTTTTTTTTGCCATAGTTGTTTAAGCGAATCACTGCAGTTGTTAAGTGAATCGTGCAATCTTTAAGCAAATCTGACTCCTCCCCATTGATTTTGCTTGTTGAAAGCTGTTGGTCTTCTTTTTCACGATCTCTTTGGCTGTGGGGGAGCAATCCATGGTTTAATCAGTTGCAATTAATCTATAGGTCCACGCCTTCAACATAGCACTGACTGTATCCCAGGGGTTCCCCAACTCCCGATCCACAGCATGCCAGAAACTGGGGTGTGCAAACACGCAAAGCCCCATCCGTGGGATGCAGGCAGCATGCAAAACCGTGCCTGCTCCGGTCCGCGGAAAAACCTCGATCCATGGAATTGGTCCCTGGTGCCCAAAAGGTTGTGAGCCACTTCTAGTCAATTGACTCTGATGTCTTGGATACTTTGTAAATAAAAGTAAAAGGTAAAGGTTTTCCTGTCCAAACTCCTTGGTCTGGTGCTCATCTCCATTTCTTGTTGAGGGAGCCAGCGTTGTCAGAAGATGCTTCCATGGTCATTTGGGCAGCGTGGCTATATGATAAAGGCACACAGAAGGCTGTTACCTTCCCACCGAAGTGGTGCCTATTAATCTACTCATATTTGCATGCTTGCAAACTGCTAGATGGGCAGGAGCTGAGGCAAGGAACGGGAGCTCACCCCATCACATGGTGGGTTTCAAACCTGGGCTATCAGCTTTCCAACCGACCAGCTCTGCATCTTTAACCACTGAGCCATCATGCCCCTCTACTTTGGAAGTCGTTTACTGTTCTGACCCATGTCCTTTTCCAACAAATCAAACACAATCCAAAAGGAACAGAAACCTTGTAATGCTTTTGCAAAATAATTAGCTGTGATAAGCACAAGTCTTGCCAAACTGTGCAAGACTTGCCAAAAGATAACAGACAGGAAATAATTTGCAATAAGAAGAATCTTCAAATACAAACTCAGGATACTGGAATGTCCACGAGGCTGGAGTTTCAAAACACCTTTGCCTTTGGCAAAGTATGTTCATTTCACAACTGGCTTTTATCTTCTTGAAGGAGGGGCCATTACCTTGAAGGCTTACTCCCGAGTTGCCAATGCTGTTGTAGCTGCTCTTTTCTCCGAGCAATCCTGCGCGCACGCGTACTTGGCACAGGCTCCTCGGGAACCTCCTCATCACTGCTGCCAGCCCCCACTATCCCTGAAGGCAGAAGTCCACTCCCTAATGGTCCTGGCCCCTCATCTGAGCCCTTCCTCTCTTCAGCTGGCCGCACCTGCTGCTGGCTAACTACAACACTTACATAATTCTCATACACTCCGGTTGTATTATGGCTGCAATTTTTCCAAAGCCTGCAGCTGCGAAATGGGGAAAAAATGTTGATTTTAATCATCCGGGAAACTTTCAGGAAGAAACTATTCAGACATGAAATTCTCCTTTGAGCATTTCAATAGGGAGGCAGGTGGCATATAAATTTAATCAATCAATAAATTAAAATCTCTTATCGTCGTCTTGCATATCCGTGTCCTCTCTTTTTCAGGTGCTCCCCATCCAGAATAGGATGAAAGAAGTTGACCGCTTCCCATTGGCGCTCAATGTTGGCATGGGAATTGTGATGGCCTTGTATATTTCATTAGCCACCCTGGGATACATACGCTTCGGAGACAAAGTCAAAGCCAGCATTACTCTCAACCTGCCACAAGATCGATGGTCAGTTGAAGCATGTTCAGATTGGATTGATTGATTTTATTTTTATTGTATTTGTTTGTCAAACATGTACAATCTAGCAAGTATAGGTATGAACATAAACAATGACTCTATCTGTCAGAAGTTCACGAAGAGCGACCACGTGACCCCGGGACGGTGCAATTGTCATAAATACGAGCCAGTTGCTAAGCATCTGAATTTTTGGTCACTTGACCATGGGGATGCTGCAATGCTTCGAATAGTCACTAAACAAATGGTTGTAAGTTGAGTCCTACATAAGCCTTGCTTAGTTGCTCTTTAGGACTTTTACCCATTTGTCTTGGTTAAAACCTCAGTCACACTAAATTATCTGGGTTTGTCCCTAGAAGCCCGATTCACTTAACAACTGTGTCACTTACTTAACAGTTGCAGTGATTCCCCTTAATAACAGTGGCACAAAAAGTTGTAAAAGTGAGGCAAAACTCACTTAACCAATTTCTCACTTTCCAACCTAAATGTTGGGCTCAGTTGTGGTTATAAGTCGAGGACTATCTGCACATCCCTATGGTGAATTGAAGGAGCAACTTATTTGACAGTTCACCAAATAGCAATTTTAAAATTGTTATTTTAAAACTACGACGTTATCGGGCACTGCACACCAGAACAACAAGACACAAGGACTGTTTTTTTCCTGAATGCCATCACTCCGCTAAACAACTAATTCCCACAACACTGTCAACTTATTTATTAAGACTATATTATTAATATTCCTCTCATCCTTCCTAATACCTATTTCTTCCCACTTATGACTATAACCAGGTTGCTTGTATCTTTACAATTTATAGTGTTTTATTTATTCCCTAGTATGATTTGATTGCTTATTAGTAACTTATGACTCACTAAGTGTTGTATCTTATGATTCTTGATGAATGTATTTTTTTAATGTACACTGAGAGCTTATGCACCAAAGACAAATTCCTTTTGTGTCCAATTACACTTGGCGAATAAAGGATTCTATTCTGTTCTGTTCCGTTCTATTCTATTCGCAACTGTTCCTCTTCTTCGTAGCAGACTGTCTTTGTGATTCATAGGTTTTGTTCAATTACAGGGTGTACCAAATGGTCAAGATCCTTTATTCCTTTGGGATTTTTGTGACCTATTCGATTCAGTTCTACGTTCCTGCGGAGATCCTCATTCCTATTGTAGCAAGCAGAGTGCAGCAGAAGCTGAAGCTCATCTCTGAGTTGGTTGTGCGAATTCTTCTGGTCTGCTCAACCTGTAAGTACAAAGAGTTAATATGGGTTTTTTTTTTCCGGGTGTGATGAGCAAAAAGAAAAAAAAAATCTTATTAAATTTAGAGCTCACGTCTTCTCCCTTTCTCCGTATGTGTGAATACATCTAACAAACCAGACATGTGAACTTGGTTTTCTTGAGGAAGATTCATTGTCCCCAAGGTGCTATTTTTCAAGAGGCAATTAGACTTTCTGGTTCTTCTTTGAAGACATTTCTCATTCTTTCTCTGACTGGATGGTGGGGAATGGAAGAATTTATACTTCTTGTGGACAGCTGGTCATTTGCATTCTTTTAAGGAGTTGTTGAGGCCACTTGGAGGTTTATCTGTGTCCTCAGGGTCACTCTTCCATCAAAAAGCAAGCAAACAAACAAAAACCCCTAGATCTGAGGTATGAGCACTGTCATGTGTTGGATGATTTGGATTCAAAAAAGGCTTAGGAAATGCTGTTTTAGAAGTTTGATCCTCAAACCAGATCATTTATTACTTTGTTGTTTGTATCTTATGATTTTATGATTGTATCTTATGAATTATGATTTATCTCTTTGTTGTTTGTACGTACACTGAGTGTTTATGGACTGGAGACAAATTCCTTGTGTGTTCAATCACCCTTGGCCAATAAAGAATTCTGTTCTATGCTATCCTATCCTATCCTGTCCTGTCCCGTCCCATCCCGTCCCGTCCTGTCCCGTTCCATTCCACTCCACTCCACTCCACTCCACTCCACTCCACTCCACTCCACTCCATCCACATCCACATCCTTGCCAAGCAGTTAAGTGTGTTTACAACTTCTGAAACCACCTCAAGGTGTCCCAGAGTCAGACAGTCTAGGAATTCTATCAATAAGCAACATTTTCCAACATGCACTTATATGAGCATACATTCACATGTCCCTTTCCCTTACTTTCATTTTAACATTCTGAAGCATACACAGTTATTTAAAAATAGGACAGCCATGTAAATGGTTGTTTAAGCTGATGGGTGTTTAAGAAATTGATGTTTTGCAGATCAAAAAAAATTTTTTTGGGGGGGGGCAATGCAAGTAGCAATAGTAATAGCACTTAGACTTATATACTGCTTCATAGTGCTTTACAGCCCTCTCTAAGCGGTTTACAGAGTCAGCCTATTGCCCCCAACAATCTGGGTCCTCATTTTACCCATCTCAGAAGGATGGAAGGCTGAGTCAACCTTCAGCCTGGTAGGATTTGAACTGCCAAATTGCAGGCAGCCAACAGTCAGCAGAAGTGGCTTGCAGTACTGCACTCTAACCACTGCACCACCGAGGCTTTTTTTAATATTTGAGAATTAGCTTTCATTCTCTAACCTGAGGGGGTGAGGTTTATTTTTAAAGGTGAAACCAGTATAAACAAATTGTATTGCACAAGATCACCTAAGGAAAGAGGAAACTGAAATAGTTTGCTTCTCTTGCAACTGTGTGACTTGTGCGGAGTTACCAAGGTTGTGAAAGTCATTCAATATTGCTTTTCTCTTGGCAAAATTTTTAATGCTAAATTTATTTTTGGCATTCTTTCATTTCCAGTTAGCAAATTGCACAGTCGATGCTGCTAGGGGAAAAAGATATTCAAACCCTATTTAATAGGATTATGCAGTATCTACAGTATATGTATGTACTAATTAAAGGGACAAAGGAGCCTTTTCCAGAGAACGGATAGCCAATAATAATTTGATTTACTAAAAATTGGAATAAGAAGAATAGATGGTGGGGTGGGGGAGTCATTTCTGGAATTCTTGGAAAAGCACCATAGGTGTTAGTCACTCAACTGTTCTCCAAGTGGTAGTTCTGCAATAAAGGCCATCCTTGGTTTGGAGCATCCCAAACCCATGAAATTAAATGTTTTTTTATGTTATGATCCATCACCTTTCTAAAGATGGAACTTTGTGCGCAGTGAAAATCCTAAGGGGACCATAGAAAAATTCACACTCAAATGAAGCTATCCAACTTCGATTTGCATGTAATCCAAATGTTGTGATGTAATTGAAGAGCGTGCATTTGGAATGTGCAGTGAAAAATTCATATAGTTCTCACACTGGTAAGCATGCCTGCTTTTGCACAAAAGAGCATTCTTTGTGAGATCACAGTCAACTAACGTGGCAGATGATCTTGAATGACCTGGATTCTTGAGTTATACGGATTACAGTTACATTAGGAAGATTTAGGAACTACATTACATTCGTTACTCATACCTCTTTTATGCTCCCAAAGCTTTATTACGCTTTCCCCCCATTCTAATGGCTTCTTTTGCTGCATAGTTCTATTTCGTAGTTCTGTGTCAGGTTGTCTAAGGTTAGAAATTCTGGATGAGTTATTCATTCTGACGCAGATGGAACTATGTAACTCTGAATGTAAATTGTTTTTATTTGTGGTCAATGTGAAATAATATGTATATAAGAAATATACTCGATTTGCATTCAACCTATAAACATGTACATTACATCCACAAGCAATTGTTGCCTTGTAATATGTGACTTCCTAGTTTATAATATCCCCCTCTGTTAGATTTGACTTAAACTATATTAACTTTTTCATCCCTCCGTAAAAGGTTTCTGATTTAGGAATAGATTGGTTAGAATTTACCCCATGTGCTATTATAAGCTTCTGGAATGGAAGCAAAATCCATTTTGGTAAATCAACCTTGCTAACTTATGTCCCTTCATGAAGTAAAGGAAGATCATAGATGATTCATACCTTTGTGCAGTTATTTAGTCTCTTTAGATCAACCACACAGAACCCTACCCAAGTCACAAATTCCACGTTCACACTAGATCTAGCCTAAAGTTACAATTTGTAGTTTGTGGTTCAGTATACTTTGGTTTATTAGATTGATAGATAAAGGTAAAGATCTCCCTTGTCCAGTCATGTCCAACTTGAGAGGGTGGGGATTATTTCCCTTTCTTAGATGAGGGAGCCAGCACTGTCTGAAGACACTTCTGTGGTCATGTAACCAGCATGGCTATACGCCGAGGTGCACGGAATGCTGTTATATTCCCACCAAAGTGGTACCTATTTATCTACTCGTGTTTGCATGCTTTCGAACTGCTAGGTGGGTAGGAGCTAGGGCAAGCAATGGGAGCTCAGCCCATCACATGGCACTCAGGTCTCGAACCTCGGCTGTCAGATTTCTAGCTGACAAACTCAGCTTCCTAGCCACTGAGCCATCAAGCTCCCATTAAATTTATATTCAGTCCTTTTTGGGTGGGTCAGCTCACATGAGGCTCTATCTTCCTTGTTCTCCCTGGAACAGCAACCCTGTGAATTTGGTTGGACAGCCCAGAGTCACCCAGGAAACCCAGCCTTTGTCTTAAGTGTGGTTTTATAAACTGGGATATCCTGTTCTAGCTCTAATAATGTTTTGTTGAGCGTAGCCTATTATGGGCTTTCCACAGAAGCTTTGTGCATAGTTACTAATGCTGCAGATCACAATCCACATTCAAAAGGGGTGAAGCTGCGAAAGGAAGGTGCAATAGTAGTACTCTTGTTGTGGATATTGCTAGGACACAATCTGTTATGTGACTACAGCAAACCATTTGTTAAATTGGGTTTAGTGATTAACCTGTTAACAAGGACTCCTAGTGGACGATCACTTAAATAGGAGCCAGCAGTGTGCTGCAGCTGCCAAAAAAGCCAGTAACAGTACGAGCTTGCATTAACAGAGGTATGGAATCAGGATCCCACAAAGTGTTAATACCACTCTATAATACCTTGGTAAAACCTCACACTTGGAATGTTGCATCTAGTTTTGGTCATTACAATATAAAAAAAGATGTTGAGACTTGTGGTGGGATTCAAAATTTTTTACTACCGGTTCTGTGGCTTAGTGGGCATGGCATGGTGGACGTTGCTTGATGGACGTGTCAGGGGAAAGATACTGCAAAATCCCCATTCCCTCCCCACCCAACTAACCTGCTTTCCAGTTCTGTTCTTCTGTGCAGGGCAACAAAAGAAGAGACCCAACCGATCAGCTGGGTTTCGGGAGGCAGATGGGGGGGTGGGGCCGGTCAGAGGTGGTTTTGGCCGGTTCTTCAAACTACTCAAAATTTCTGCTACCGGTTCTCCAGAACGGGTCAGAACCTGCTGAAGACCACCTCTGGTTGAGACTCTAGAACAGGGCTTTCACACTCCCGGTCCACAGGCCGGATCGTCATGCACTGGCCACAGCCATGCCTGGTTTAACAAAGGTGGGGGAAGGTTCCGATACATCACTTGATACTGCCATGACGATGTGAGATTGATACCCCTGCTTTAGAAAGAGTGCAGAGAAAAGCAACAATTCTTAGGGGACTGGAGGCTAAAATTTGTGAAGAACAGTTGCAGGAATTGAGTATGTCTAGTTCAATGAAAAGGACTAGGGGTGACATGATAGCAGGGTTCCAATAATTGAGGGTTTGTCCCAGAGAAGGAGATGTTGTCAATCTATTCCCCAAAGCCACCCGAAGGCAGGATGAGAAGCAATGAATGGGAACTAATCCAGAAGAGAAGCAACCTCCCTGCGTGCCCCAGGATGAAGAGGGGGTGAGCTTGGGTCTTCCTCTGAATTCCCTCTCCCTTGTTCTACCTCTTCCCTGCTCTGCCCAGCCGACTTTGCGCTTCCCCAGTCTCTTCCACAGCCAGCCAAGCCACACTCACACTCCTTGTCGGCTGTTTGGCTTCCTCCTCCCAGTCAGATTCCAACAGGGGCATGACAGATTCTCTCTCTTTTTTTCCAGGTGCTATAGCGATATCCATCCCCCGCCTGGACATTGTGATCTCGCTGGTCGGCGCCGTGAGCAGCAGCACGTTGGCTTTGATCCTGCCTCCGTTGATTGAAATCCTCACCTTTTACAAGGAGAAGCTAAGCGGATGGATGATCTTCAAGGATCTTTCCATAGCCTCCCTTGGCGTGATCGGTTTCATAGCTGGCACTTACGTGAGTGTGAAGGAGATTATCTGCCCCACAACGTTGCTTTTTGAGAATGCCACAGTTGGTTCCACAACCTGCTTCAACACTTCCCACTTGGCCAGGGGAGCCAATTAATCTCAGAAGATTGTGGGCCTCTTGCATTTCGTAACAGACGCGTGTTTGCAAACCAAAGAGATTCCAGATGGACAGGTTTTGAAAGAGAAAATGGTTGGAGGAGGGATTTTTTTTTTCTTCCCCCTCCACCGAAATCTGCTCCTGTGGAGGATACAACTTATTCAAGGTTTTTTCCTCCCTTCCGTTCAAGCATCATGGACTGCTACGTATTTCTCTGCAAACGGGACCAGAAATCAAAGAACCCTTCTTGATATCATGTTTGGACATCTCACATTGAGAGAATAATCCCTGCCAACTTCTTTATTTAAAGTTAAGTCAGCCTTTTGAGAGCCTCTTCGCGTCACTTCAGAGATTAAGATTTATGCAAAAACGTGGATATCGTCTCTCTCTCTCTGTGTATTGTGTAAATCCTCTTTTATGTTTTCAATTTTATGTATCTACTTGAAACACAAGTAGAAATGCTTTCTGGTGGATCTGCTGCCCAAGTGGCCAAGGACTTAAGCCTGTACCATCACTGCAGTTTTTTCCACTGTGAGATTAGACCTCAAGTCCCTTAATTAACAGCCACCAGGGTTTATCTTGGAAGAGCAAGATAAAATCACGATATTAGTGTCTATGGAGATTCTCAGCTATCCAGGTCATGGTTTTCCCAAAGGTGGATTTTCAGGTGGACTTTCTGTTTTTTCTTAGAAGACGTTTCACTTCTCATCTAAGAAGCTTCTTCAGCTCTGATTGGATGGTGAGGAATGGAAGGATTTATAGTCCTTGCAGACAGCTGGTTATTTGCATTCTTTTAGAGAGTCGTTGAGGCCACTTGGAAGTATATTTGTGTTCTCAAAGTCACCTGAGTGGTGCAAATCGGTGTGGAGCTTTCTTGGAACTAATGAGAGAACGGTTTTGTAGACGGAAGATAGACAGTCCTTTCTGTCCTACAACACAGTCCTTTCAACAGTTCCAATAGAGCTCCACCCCCATTTGCACTACTTAAGTGACCCTGAGGACACAGATAAACCTCCAAGTGCTTCAATGACCCTCTAAAATGATGCAAATGACCAGCTGTCTGCAAGGACTACAAATCCTTCCATTCCCCACTATCCTGGTCAGAGCTGAAGAAGCTTCTTGGAGGAGAAGCGAAACATCTTCAAAGACAAACAAGAAAGTCCAGTTGTCTCTTGGAAAAGCACCTTTGGATCATCCTATTAGTAATTTCTCTTAAGGTCTGCAAAGAAATACATCTTCAGACGTAGGTCTTGATCATGCAAATCCTTTACATAATGTGAAGGAACAACAAATGATGCAATTTTGGAGACGCCGTACCTTGCTTGGGTCTTGGTAACAGAGTCGAGCCAAAACAGTGGGTTATCACAGACAGCTGTCCCCAGCACGCGTAAGAGTAATATTACAGTTTCACAGAAAGCTGTATTTTTCTATTTATTTCTAACTACATAGAGCACTTCTATATTTGTATGTTAGCACTGTTTGGTTGCAAATGAGATTTCTCTGCAGAATTTCATATTCTATGGAAACCATGCGTCCGTATCCTTTATGCTTTAATCTGTATTTTTTTTCTCCCCAAAGGAAAAAAAGTTTTGATAATATGGGGATGCCTTAAAACTTGCGACTCAATCACGTTCAAACCAGTTGGACTTAATAATAGCCACAATTTGAACTTAGACATTTCTAAACTTGGCAAAATCTGGTCTTCATCCAACAGTTTGAATCCACTAAAATCCATTGGACCTCACATATTAAGGGGTTCGTGTCTTTGGGGTGACCTATTCTTCCTAAATCTTCCTCACTCAATTTTCTAGGGACCCGAATAAGAAGAAAGAGAATATATCTTCTGTTTTGCTTGCTTTGGGCCGTAATAGTATACCCTGAAATTGTCACGGGCTGTTATTTTCAGGTTCTCTTTGTTGCCATGAAATTTCACAATCCAAAGCATTCAGAGGGGCAGATCTACCCAATCTTATGATATGATGGATTCCAGAAAATAGGAAATTTTCCTTGGCATGTTGTATTTATTTGCATTTTTGGAGTCTGTTTCAGTGGTAGTATTCATCCGGTTTGCACCGGTTTGGGCGGATGGGTAGCAAGGATTTGGCATGGGTCGCCAAACTGATACTAACTTCTGGCTGGCCATGCCCCTGACCGGTCGACAGTTGCTCACTTGCCCCACCCGCCCGATGCTCGCCCCGCCCAGTCACTCCTGAAGGTATTTCTTTTCCCCCCCTCTCCCGACAATCAGCTGTTCTTATGAACAGCTGTGCTGGGATTCCCTTCACTTACTGACTGCTTCACCCAGGAGGCTTCCCTGAGGCCCAGGAAGACAGAAAATGGAAGCGGGGGCACACACACCCCCACACTCCTTTCTGAGCCCCAGGGAAGCCTTCTGGGAGCCAAAACGCCCCCCCAAGAGGCTTCCCTGAGGCACAGAAGGCCCAAAAAATGGGAAGGGAGGAATGTGCTGCAAAAAAAGAGCCACGCCCATCCAGTCACGTGGCCACGCCCACCAAGCCACGTCCACAAAACCGGTAGTAATTTCTTTTTTTTAATTCCACCGCTGGTCTGTATTACTGTATTACAGACCTTTTGTGTTTTTGTTCATCTCTATACAGGTAGTCCTTGACTTACCCCAATTCCTTTCCTGACCATTCGAAGTTACGACGGCACTGAAAAAAGTGACTTATGATTCATTTTTCAAATGGGATCCCCATTGTCACATGATTTACGTTTGGACATTTGATAACTGGTTTCATATTTATGACGGTTGCAGTGTCCTAGGTCACGTGATCACCGTTTGCGACTTTCTGGCAAGCAAAGTCAACAGATTCACGTAACATTTGCGTTACTAACTTAACAAGTGCAGGGATTCACTTAACACACAGGGCAAGAAAAGTTGCAAAATGGGGCACAACTCACTTAAACAAATTTGTCACTTAGCAACATACATTTCAGGGCTCAATTGTGGTCGTAAGTCAAGGCTACCTGTATTCATACGTTATACAACATTAACATGCAAGATACATCATACAACGTCACCTTTTCCTGCCTGGGATTTATATTCCTTCCTATTTTGAATCCTTCTTGAACCTCTTTTCTCTGTTGCATTCCGCCTTTGAAAAAAACCTAGCCAGAGGCAGGGAGAAGGAGAGGAAGAAAGGGAATGCTAAGCAACACAACTCTTTGTTCTAACAGTTGTGGAAAGCATTGTTGCCATGTTGGCTTTGATTTTGATTGTTGAATGTGTGCATTCAAAGCCTCTAGTTTTTCTGCGTTGCACAGAACAGCGGGAGCTGTGTTCACTCTGCAGTTTTAATAGTTTTAACAGACTCTGCAGTCCTTAAACTAAAAAGCATAACTTTCAACATACATTTTCTTGATCTGTCATCTTCCTGATTAGCCTGTGAATTTGAGGTTACTTTTTACTGGGCATCATGATTTTGGAGCATACAAATTTCCCTGCACAAAATGAGTTCAAAATGTTATAACAGTGTTGCTTATATAGCTGGGAGTGTGACCAGCGGCCAATTTTTTCAAGCCTGGCTGCTTTAGTCCTTTAAAAATAATGGAAGAGGATGAGCTCCAATTTTCAAGCCAGACCTGCTGGATATCTCTTGACACCCTCTAAATTGGGATTTCTCAACTTTTTGACAGCTTGAAGAAGTGTGGACTTCAATTCCCAGAATTCCCCAGTCGGTTAGAGCCGGCTAGGGAATTCTGGGAGTTGAAGTCCACTTATTTTCAAGCTATCCAGGTTGAGAAACCCTGTTCTGACTGTACATTTCAGGTTTGCTGCAAATAAATAGTTGGTGGGTGTAGAGCCATATTCTAAACTCCAATATCTGACCAAGTGGGCGTATCTTCAAATTTAAAGTACTGCTACAATTAGCATCTGCATCGGCTCTCGGCGTAAACAGTTGTAAAGGAATAATTTAACCTATTCGTCTTCACTGCAGAGAATGCCAATTCTGCTTTTTTGGGTTTGGCCAGTGTTCTGGGTGCATTTACAAGGTTCAAAATTGCGAAATGCATCCAGAAGGTCTATGTTTTGTCCCTTGAACTGTGCTTGGAATGTTTGCCAATATGCCGAAGGATGACAATTGGTGACACTAATTTGTAGTCCATCCAAATGACAAAGTTGACTGAATACTATATATATTTGTAAAGTCTAGAACCATGACTGCGAACCTATGTTACTCATGCCACAGGTGGCACGCAGAGCCATTTGTACGGGCATGCGAGCCCCAGCCAAACTTGCCTGCACTGCGCATGCTAATTTTCAGCCCGTTTGAGGCCTTTTTCGGCCTCCCAGAGGCTCGAGGGAAGCCTCTGCAGCCTTTGGAGGCCGAAAAACAGGTCCATTTCGTCACTTCCATTATTTTCGTAAATATCGGAAGTGACGAAATGGGGTTTGCGCATGCATGCTCAGGGGCATGGGCGGGGAGCACGCATTGTCTTCTGGATGGTGGCACGTGAGTGCGTGTGTGCGAGTACATGCCCAATTTTTGGCACAGGAGTCCAAAAAGGTCCACCACTGGTCTAGGATTTACCTTTTGTGAGACAAATGGGAGGACTGTTTCCCCCAAAGTGGACACAGATTTTACACGTCATTGCCATTGGGGAGGGCATTGAAATCCTGTCCTCTGAAGAACATGTAACTTCCCTCAACCTTACTATCATGTTCAGCTACTCTTAACTGGCCTGCCTAGCAACCATCCATATTTGTTGCTATGCTTCCCCTGCGTACAAAGGCATATCTCCTTCCCCAATTGCTGTAATTGATGGGACTTGAAGCATTATAAAACCAGGTGTTCCCCATGTAGATTCCTTTTCCTCCTCCTGTCTTTTCCTACCATGTAGGAGCTTGTGACTTCAAAGTGGCTGATCCAGCACATTGTACCAATAGAATGCCTTCGCCTCTGTAGCACTTACTCAAGGAGTTGGAATAGAGTCGTGACACTACGTATTTTTGTGTCTATTATGTAAAAAGTAATAATAATAATAATAATAACAAGGAAGAAAATTCCCTAGGACAAAAGCATACCTCTCAGGATCTGAATCAGAACAGATGCGCTGTAGGAAACCAAGTTCCAAAGAGTGCTTGCCAAAGGTCTTAAAAAAGAATTTAAAAAGCACAATAATAAACACAACGGTTTGGAAGATAGAGAGAGCAATAAGATGGGAAGGCTCTGATGAAGACCAGCTGGAGAAAACGAAAGACTGCAGAGTTTAAAACAATGCCCGTTTAAAGAGGCAATCGACAGCGAATCGAAGGAAAGGAATTCCCGTGGATGTTTTTTAAGTTTACGGAGCAAAAGTATTATGTTTGTGTTCATTACATGAATTTATGGTGGGCAGCTTTAATGCAAGGCATACATGAGCTGCATTAAAGAGTGTGCCACTTACTCATTACTAGCTTTCCATAGGCACAGGCTCGTATAAAAATAAAATCCACTGTGTTCGTTCCCATGCGTTCAGTTTCCTATGGAGTTTTTAACTTAATAAAAAACATTGCAATCTAATTACTCCGCATTTTTCTTCCAACGTTCAACAACACATTTTAATGGCTTTTCAGACCTGGTGGGGTGTGCAGTGGGCAGGTGTGATGGGGAGATATAGGCAGCTAGATTTATAAGCTGGTCTAAACTTCACTGTTTGTGCATGTATCTTTTTATCCTCTTCTCATCTACCTCTTGGGAAATAATTCCCGCTGCCACAAATTAATCACAGCAGCATATTTTCTGCCGTGAAAGTAGCGTGTGGCTTGCAGAGGAAAAAAAAAATAGCAAGCTTTGTGCTTTTCTCCAAGTGTGGTTTTTTTTTTTCCTCCTAAAACTATACAGAACCGAGTGCTGGATGGTGTTCTGACCCAGGCTTCGTCAAACTTAATAAAACACAAACTGAATTTAAAAGTAAAACCTTTTTTAATGCGACGCTAGCAGAGGTGGTATTCAGCAGGTTCTGACCAGTTCTGGAGAACCGGTAGCGGGAATTTTGAGTAGTTCAGAGGACCGGCAAATACCACCTCTGACTTGAGATTTTACAGTATCCTTCCCCTGCCACGCCCATCAAGCCACGCCCACAGAACCAGTAGTAAAAAAAAGTTTGAATCCCACCACTGGAATGCTAGGAATTACTTGCATTCCCAGCCAAAACTCATTAGACACAGTTCCTCCAGATAGGAGCACGCTTTTCAGTGCTGTCGAATGCTGCCAAGAAGCAGAGGTCCAATTAAGGCTAACATAAATCAACCCAAAAGCCTAGAAAAAAACGACCAGAATACAGAGCCTCACAAAGTACTTGGAGATTACTAAACTGCTTTGGTTCCTGCAAAGCTCATCACTGAGGCCTGACTTTTATCCCTTATGGGAGGGGCAATCACCTCCCAGCCTTACTCCTTTTTGTTTCAGCTGCTTTTGCCTTTGGGTCCTCTGCCTGGCTGCTGCCAGACTCCGAAAGCTCCGTCGATAGCAGCCCACTCTCAGATGATCCTGGCCCCATCTCTGCATCGGATGCAGGACCCTCATCCAAGTCCTCTCCAGACTCCCTGACTGGTTCCCTTTTGTCCTCACTGTCCGATGCCTCTGCCATCCGCACCGGCTGCCGGTGAACCACAACAGATAGGCTAAGCGGAAATATATGTAGATGGGATGAACTGTACTCCTGCTTAAAACGGGGATTCTTATTTTATACCATCTAAAATAATAAATGAACTGGGGTGATTCCTACAGTGACTAAAACGGTCACTCTACAGATAGTCCTTGACTTATGATCATCGTTATGCCCCAAATCTCTGTGGCCAAAGTGAGACACTTTTTAAATGAGTTTTGCCCCATTTTAACGACCTTTCTTGACACAGTTGTTAAGTAAAACACTGCAGTTGTTAAATTAATCTGGCTGCCCCATTGACTTTGCTTGTTAGAAGGTTGCAAAAGATGATCACATGACCCCAGGCCACTGCAAACATCATAAATACATGCCAGTTGCCAAACATTGCCAAGATTATTACATAGAACATATAGTCGAATCATGTTGGAAGGGACTGTGGAGGTTTTCTAGTCTAACCCAGGGTGGCTGCTGGGGGCTTGCAGGGGCCTAGCTAAGACTGCAGGGCTCGGAGAGCCCCCAATAACTTCAGAAAGACAAGCAGCAGGGGAAAGCTTTTAATAGGCTTAATTGAACTCCTGGGCATTCAGCCAAGAGCATTTCACATCTCATAAAAGTGTTGCAAGCTAGATAAACAATCCACTCAGCTCTTGTGAGAGAGAGCCATTGAGAAAACCAGATAACATAGCCACTAGCTTCCGAGGGGATTAATTCCCAAATCATAAGAATCATGTAACTTACCAGAAACTCCACCAAGACTCCAAGATCCCTCTCGCAGTCATTGCTATTAAGCCTCACCCAGTCTTTAAGTATTAAATGCATGAAATAATAAACAAATTTTGGGGTATATATCTTTTTTTTAGGTAATTAGGGCAAAGAAGCGACGTCAAGTTGGCCACACCCACTGAGTCACATGATCACCCAAGCACACCCAGCCAGCCAGTCTTTAGGGCAGAGAGCTCCTTGCTAAAAAATTTGAAGGAGACCTTATACACTCCAGTCAAATGGTTGTCCAGTCTATTTTTGAAAGCCTCCAGTGATGGGGCGCCCAAAACTCTAGGAGACAAGTTATTCCATTGATTAATTATTGTCAGTGTCAGTAAATTTGTCCTTCTAGGTTGGATCTCTCTTCAACAAGCTTCCACCCATTATTTCTTGTCCTGTCCTCTGGTGTTTTGGAGAATAAGTTGATCCCTTCTTCTCTGTGATAGCCCCTCAAATAGAGGAAATAGTAGGAAGACAGTTATGACGCCCCCCCACTTCTTCTTTTCAATAGGCTAGAGCTAGAGCTCCTTCAACCCTTCATTGTACAGTTTAGCCTCCACCTCCTTTAACACCTTACCAATGAATGCAATCATGATGAAATGAGAATTGTTCTCCTATAAAGAACCAACTTAGATTAGTTTCTATGATTCATCCAGCTGAATCATGAAGTAATAACCGTGTTTATGGCACAGGGAAGAATTGCACTGAAAATGGAAATGTTGCTAAGTTCAAATATATACAAGTTCAATACTTGTCCTTTTCTAAACATATACTTTTGAGTTGGCCTTGCATAACACAATTTTTGCCTCCCCCATAAGAGGTAGTTGCAGGTGGGCTCCTTCCTTAATGCAAAATTGAAATAAATCTGTGCTTGTATCATAGTTTATTTACTTTGAAAGCATCCAACATAACTAATGTTTTGAGGGTGGTACAGCAATTAAGGACTGACAAGGTGGTAGCTAATATGTTGTGCTACTATAATTTGCACATCATTGGTTTCACAGTTAAAAACAAAATGCTTAATGTTCCTTTTACCTTACTTGAATGCAGAAGTTCAGAGGGTGTTATCCATCTTAAAAATGATTTGGAAGAGTTTCTGGTTCGTTTAAAATGTTTTTTTTTCCCTGAGAGAAATAGGCAAATCCATTGGGGATGGGAAGGTTGGGTAGGAGTCTGAGAGGGCACCAGAGAAATCTCTCCATCATTTTTGAGCAGTTGGGACATGAGCACAGCCCCACACTGGGATAGATACTGCAGTTTCATATTTGTGTCAGCTACCTGAGCAGTTTCAATGCAATGCTACTTCAGAGCTATTGTGGGAAATTAAAATGGTCCTGACCAGAACATTGTTGTGGGATAAGCCAAGAAGAGACCACTGATGAAGGTAGATGTCCACCCATGAGCCTTTTCCTTGACTGGCTTAATAAGAGCCATGGTGGCACAGTGGTTTGAATGCAGCATTGCAGGATAATTCTACTGACTGCCAGCAGTTGGATCCTGAACAGCTCAAGGTTGACTCAGCCTTCCATCCTTCTGAGATTGGTAAAATGAGGACCCAGTTTGTTGAGAGCAATAGGCTGACTGTGTAAACTTAAACAGGGCTGTAAAGCACTATAAAGCAGTATATCAATCTAAGAGTCATTGCTAAATGCCGGCTAAACTTTAGGGTGTGTATGTATCTAGCTCAATGTTTCTCAACCTTGACCATTTTAAGATGGGTAGATTTCAATTCCTAGAATTCCCCAGTCAGCCTGGCTGGAGAAGTTGATAGAAACTGGACGGGCAACTTGTGGACCTGAATACAATAACACTATACAGCGAGTACCTGACCAACAATTTCATATTACAGATAAACATTGAAGCTCTCAAGGTGTTAATCATGGGGGAAATAGTTATAAATAAAAGCAGTGATCAGATATGAGAGCCTAGTTTTGAAAATCTCAAAGAGAGAAATGAGCAATGTGAAGAACAAGTAAAACAGGAATTAGTACATGGGTATGGCAAAGAAGAAGGTGCAAGCAAAGAACACATTGACGTGATAACATCAAATCTGATAAAAAAGTTGAACATACAACATACAAAGTTGCAGATACAATGACTGAAATAAACTGTGCTTGACCAGGGTAGCATGGAGAGCACTTGACTATAAAATTACCAAAAGTCAGACACGACTAAGTGGTTAAAAACAAACATGAGAATGATAAAAGCAAGGAAGTTGTCAAGGCTAGAAAAGTATGGAGGGGTCTAATGAATGAATCTGGTATAAACTAGATTTAATAGGAGAAAATACAGTATATGTACTCAGGATTGAGTTGTGGAGTTCTCTGAGCTTCGATATTTGCTTGCAGGTGTTTCCTTACCCAACTAGGTAACGTAGAATCATAGGGCTGGCAGGGATCGGTCATCTAGACCAACCCCCCCCCCCCCCCCAAGCGGGAGACCATACACCATTTTTGACAGATGGGAGTCCAGTCTCTTCTTGGAAGCTTCCAGGGATGAAGCTCCCATAACTTCCGAGGGCAACTTCTGTTCCATTGGTGGATTGTTCTCACTGTCAGAAAATTTCTCCTTATTTCCAGAATGAATCTCTCCTTGATCAGTTTCCATCCATTATTCCTTGTCTGGTCTTCAGGTGCTTTAGAAAATAGCTTGACCCCTTCCTCTCTGTGGCAGCCCCTCAAATATTGGAACACTGCTATCACGTCTCTTGGAGGTCTTCTAGTCCAAATGGTTGCCTAATCTCTTGAAAACCTCCAGCAGTGGTGTACCCACAACTGTAGGAGATCATTTTCTCCCATCAGTGTCATATTGAATCCAGGAGTCAAAGTCCATACATCTTAAAGTGGCTAAGATTCAGAAACACTGCCATGAGGGCAATATTGCCTTAGGACAGGGGTGTCAAAATCAATTTCATTGAGGGCTGTGTCAGGGCTGTGTTTGACCTTGGGGGACCATAGGGGCCGTGGCTTGGGTAGTTGTGGACATGGCCAGCTTGACGTCACTCATGTTGGGGGACACCTGTGGTGGCCAAGTGCTAAGGCAGGACTTCCCTCAGACCCTCCCTCCCTCCCTCTCATTATAATCTTCCTCCCTCGCTCCATCTCTCCCTCCCTTTTCTTCTTTTTCCTTCCTCTTCATTCTCCTTTCTTCTTCTTTCCCCTCTTTCCTTCTTTTTCCTTCCTTGATCTCATCCCCTCTTTCCTTCTTTGTCCTTCCTCTTCCCCTTTCTTCTTTCCTGT